TAACCATATGTTTTTATACCAAATGGGATTCCTCCGATGATTATGATGATCTTCTGTTTTGCATGATTTCACTTAAAGATTTTTCTTATACTCTCAAGACCTAACACCATGCAAAACAGAAGAGCATCGTCCAAGTTCTATGGCACACAATTTGTAACAAATTCTTAGTATGTTCTGCTTACTTTTTTTTCAGAGTAACAAGGAAGTTTCACAGCCAATGCATACAAGTTTTAAAACATATGCCAGCTAAAGATAGTCATCTGATCTTTGAAACATTCTTCGCATGTAGGCATCGCACTTTCTCAGAAAAACCAACAGAACTTACCCTCATCTGTAGGGTTGAACCCACAGATATCACAGATACATCGAACCCACTTATTCATCTCCTCCTCGCTGTCTGCTACCAAATAGAAAACTCTGTCTATAGTGTTGATATCAAAAATATAACTGTTTTCAAATTCTTTTTTGTTGAATGTTAATCCAGCATCCACTTGTTGACACAAATTTAAGTCAATAATACGGATAGGCTTCTTGGCATGGTCATTTTTGTAGTATTCCAATACATCTGGATCCCCCGTTAAACGGCCGCTGCGAAGCACAAACCATCTCCTCTTCCATGCCTGAAAATTGGAGAGAGAAAAGAAGGAGAAAAATCAGAGGGAAGAAATCATACTTTAAGACTGTTACCTTTTGCATATGGTTTCAACCTGTGTTGAACCGAGTAATAGTAAGTAGCTCAATTATAATTCTAAGTGATTACACACCAGTTACCTACATTTAACACAATCTATTTATATATTGCTACAGCAGTAGACTAGAGGATTAGTGAATTTGTGTTTTAAAGTTTATTTCTTCTGTATTGGAGCTTTGTTTTTAAGAAGGGGGACATATAATTAAATCACTGTTTACAAAATGAGAAAGGATGAATCCAGCAAAGAAAAAAGGGGGGAGGGGACCAGGAGAGGGGAAAAAAGCTCACACAAAAAACTTCTGAAGCAAGTTGATGTAGGCACGGAGAAGACAAAGTAGAATATATCTTTAAGTGCTCCACAGTGTCTTGTTTCCAATATCTGCTGCTTTGGGCTGATGCATTTTAACTCTGAATATTTCACTGATACTCGACAATAGCGACCTGCATTTAAGGAACAGACAATGCTCACATCGTACACTCACCTCAATGTTAGGGGAACTCTGCACTCAAAACCTCATAGTATTTCTATGATAGTACTTCTTACAGAAAAAGAGCTACATTATTATGTTGGAAGCCGTTAGAGAGATGGGGATGGAGAGAATGACCAAACGTTATAGTTTTACTGCATAAAAACAGCCTCTGTGGAAGGTACATCCACAGGAGAAATACATTTCACAATCTGACACTGTGCTTGTTTTACCAGCCTTCCTGCTGCTGCAGAGGGAAAGAAGCTGGTCCAGGAGAAAAGCACAGATAACATGCCTCATCTTCCAACTAATCCTCAGCTGCCGTTCATTCCCGTGGGCCTCCGTCACCTGGCATAATTCTCCCCAAAGATGCTAACTCAAACCAAGAAACCGAGGTTTGCATACAGCTGTCCTGGCATTACCAACAGCATCTTTATTGCCCCACTTAGCTCCATCTTGGTTCCTCAGCTTTACCAGCAATACAGCATTCTATGCTTTAAGCCTCCTTATATGCACAAGTGCCAGAATAATGGGCACAGTAGAAGCCGCCAGAAGTACTGCCATTGCCCACTAGAAGAGCTGCACTGCATTCACAGTTAGAAATCTGAAAGTAGAGCCTGGACACAGTGGGGAGCCATCACTGTTTTGTCCATTTGTTTTTACGCTTTTCAGCAAAGTTAGAGACCAAGGCAAATCAATGCTGTAGCCAAGCATACACTGCAGACTCACACCATGCCCCAAGGCACCCCATTTAAAACTTCTTTAGGATATCCAAACAAGGTCACCAGCAAGTTCTTTGGAAGGACAAAAAACAACAGAAGAAATAAAAAAATAAAACAGGTGAAAGAGTTCTCCTTTTGGCCAGCCCTGGCTGCACGCTAACCAAGGAAAGGAATGAAATCAGCAAGGACGGTCCCAGAAGAGGTCAAGACGTGTGATGTCCTTTACATAATGGGACATAGCTTTGAAAACAAGAGTTTCTTACTATGTATTAGGAAAAGATTCAGACCCATTTTCTTGAGGCACAAGTGTTTCCATTTCATTTTTATGTAGCTGTTACTTTCAAACAAACTAGTGGAGGGAAGACAAAGGACCGAGCGGTAACTGCACTGCCATCTTCCAGCTCCGAACTAGTGCCGTCAGCTTTGCACTGGAGAGTCACAAAACCCTCATTGTCAAGTGGGCATGCCTTTTTTGGGTATCAAGCTTAGGAAGCTATTATGAAAAGATAATACAGAAAGCAGGAGAAAAGGCAAAATGCCAGACAGCTTAATTAAGGCTTGTGATCCATCCTCCAACTACCAAGCCTCTAAAAGTTATTTGATTTTAAGATAACTTTTATACTTTATAAAACAAGTATATTTATTGCTGTGACTACAGCATCTGCCTTTAAGTGCTGAACTACGTGAATCAAGTCAAGGCCTCAAGCAACTATTTCCACAGTAGCAGTGAGTTTACTGGGTGAACAGTAAAACACAGAAGTAGAACATGTAACGGATGAAATCCCTTCAATTTAGATTTCAAATGTAAGCATCTCCTACTAGCACAGCTGATAAGCACTGTTTAACAGCAACCCAAAAATACTGGCAGTTTGTTTTGTTTCCTGTTTCCAAATCAAGTGACAACTTAGATGCTGGGATAACAGGAAACTTCCATATCAGAGCCTCTCTCTCCGGTCACAGATAACTGTTACGACTCAAACTGCAAAACTCTGTTGCTTCAGAAACTAGCTTTATCTGTAACCTCAGCCTTTAGTCATTCAGATGAAATTTTCAAAGCTTAAGTCAGGAGGAAAGAGATTAGAGATAGGTGAGGAACAAGAGCGACGGAGAAGCATGATGCATTTTGTCTCACGATTTGTGTAACACACACAAAAAATTCAACTCTGTATCAACCAAGCACGCCTCTTCTAGAAGTTTGTTTCTAGTACTGGGTTAAGGAGTGAAAGATTCTTAGCAATCCTGACAATCTCTGTTGAGCATTAATGAGTAAGTAGGGCTCTTAAAAATTCAGAAGATCAACCAGCTAAATGGAATTTGCTTTCAGCCCTTCAGGCTACAAAATAGCAACTGTAAAGTACTTAAAACATTGAATTTAGCCTACCAGCACCTGCTACTATTTTTGAAGAGTTTTCACATAGTGCATATGTGAATGTTTATTTCAGTCATATAATGAGTCACACTCACTGAAACTGGCACAGATTATATTCAAAAACAAAAGCAATTCCATAAACTACACACTAATAAGGCAGATACAAAGGTTCTCTGGATTACAGTACAAAGCACAATTTAACAGCAGAATAAAGCTTAAAGCTAGACAAGTGAACTGACATCAGCACCCTTGCTAATCATAGTACAAAAGCGCCTCTATATTTTGTCAAAGTGCAAAATGAGCCCACATAAATCAGTCTTTGTTATTTGAAAATATCTGGGATTCTTAAAGCTTGATCTATTTTTAACATTTCAGTATTTGTCGTTGTAACGAAAGCTGTATACTGCCTCACTGAAGTACAGAATACTGTGCTATGTATGTAAGGAAGATAGCTTCTTCAGTAATGGCTTTCCCAAAAGAAATCTCTAGAAGAGAGTGTGCACATGTGCAAATACGTATTTATGCAAATTTAATCTTTTTTTTTTTACCCCTTTGGGCATTCTTGTTTGAAAATTTTGCATTTTCTTTTACTTATCTTTTTAATTATCTGTCACGTTACTGATGTTATTAGCCATACATTATCAAACACTGGTTTTCTGTGCTAAAAGTCAACGGCATTAAGTTTGAGAAGTCAAAAAAATAGCCAGTGTAGTATTTAAAAATTTTGTCCCAATACCAGTATCATTTAATTCTGGAAAGGTATTTGAGCAAATAGAGAAAAGGTGAGTTTTTTAAATGAAAGATTTTTTCATATACATAAAATGTGTGTTATTAATATAAATAGGGTTTTAAAAATATATTTTATAAATATACTAACACCTAGTTACAAAACACTGCATGCAGATCAAATACCTAATTCAGAAGCAAAATTGTCCCTTTTAAAAGTGTAGTATGGCAAACATCATGGGAATCATGTTCACCAAAAGCCTGCGTAGGCTTTGTAAATTATTACAAAACAAGGTTTAACGAGGTTTGCTGCTTTTGTTTCAGACTAAGAAAGGCCTTGTGTGCCTCTCAGCTTGTTTTCTCCTTTGAGCTGCAAAGCATATCAGCTGGCCTAACATAGGACATCACCATTCTTGCCAAACATTGTCCTGTTTGTATCATGAGACCATCGTATCATGAGACCATCATAGCTATAGAAACAAGCTTGTTTACTTGTTTTTGAGGTAGTCTAAAATGTGACAAGCTGCTCACCCACAGAGCATCAAATGATCAAAGGAATAGTGGAATTCTGTATTTTTCACACAGCATTGAGTAGGTTACAAAGCAAAAACAAGAAATTCCTACGATTAGTTTTTCCACTCACATATATGCAAACTGCTGATTTAAAAGCAAGTGAATCAGCTAAGAAATTGGCAGAAAGCATCATTTAGCAGTGTTGGGGTTTGGTTTTTTTGGTTGGTTGGGTTGTGTGTTTTTTCTTTTTTTTGAAAGACTGTAGCTAAACCTGTATGCAGTACACAGGATTTACAATATAACCTCCTTACAAGAGGTGTATCTGTTGAAGAAGTTGTAGCTATACCTCCCTTAATCTTTACATTTATGGATTATTTTTTTCCCCCGTCATATATATTCGAGATGCATCTCATTCAGCTGCTGGCTGGAGTTCAAAGATGTAGGAAACAGGGGATGTATGTGTAAATGGAGAGGGAAAGGAAGGAGGAATGGGCAGGAAAGAGTAGATAATTTATATTTAAAAAAGGATTTAACCTTCCATTTGGATCCCCTCAAGCTGTTGCTCAAGAGGCCAAAATAATTACATGAAATGTTTGCATAAAAGCTTAAAAATGTTAAATCAAAGACAACTTTTTCTGGTCAATTTTTTACAGCATTTGCTCTCGTGGTCAAGTACCTCTGCTTACTGATAAACAGGTCAGTCGTCCTTCTTTGGTTTGCTAAGTATTATTACCCATAATCCTCACATCACGTAAAGCTGATTTTCACCTTCTAGCACATATACCACCTTTTTTCTCTTGGGTAGCATCCAGTCAAAAAAACCTCCAAAACTGTTGAGCACTGGCTAAGCCAAGGAGGGTATCACTTACATCCTGCTCCGGTAATACCACTAATAAATCTTTCCCCCATGTATGGCCAGTAGACCCAGGAATAAAATTACAAATCTCAGACCTTCCTTCTCATTCTCAAGTGTGCAGACATTTGTGCTTACGTTTTCATCTCCGTACTCCACAGACAGTACTTTAAAAGGGCAGTATTTGGCATTCTCCCTTCCCAGAAAAGTCAACTAAGACTTGGAAGAAAGAAGCGACTTACCCAGGGGCACAGGGAAGGATCCAAAAGA